ACACACAGCAACACACACAACAGACATCTGATTTCTATAACTCCACACACAGTAACACACACAGCAGAAACATCTGATTTCTATAACTCCACACATAGTAACACACACACAGCAGACATCTGATTTCTAGCTGACAGATGTGTAACATTATTTTCTTCAGAGGTCATTTTTATCACCAGTGTCGAAACTTGAATTCAGTTTGACTTCTCAAGTCTTATAACAATCTGACCCACCTTTCATTCTCCAGTTACTCTTCTAAGTTCTAAGCTAGTTTAATAAACGATCTGCATGCTGTATCTACTGTTTTCTTTCTCTGGAATCAATGAACACAGATTACTAATTTTCGATCATGTTTCAGTTATTAAAATAATCCACTTCTTAACAATATTTCTAAAGTATATTAACTTTTAAAGTATTCAGAACCCCTCCATATAGGAAAGTCAAATGACTGTTACAACTTCTTTAAGTTGTATAAACAGTAAGATCCAAGGTTAAGATATTAGCTTCAAAACTACCTTTTTAGTAAAGTAATTTTTCAATTATGTGCAATGATGCAGTGTGTGTGTGTGTGTGTGTGTGTGTGTGTGTGTGTGTGTGTGTACAAGACTGTAGGTCAGAGGCACTAAATCCCCCTGGAGCTGGAGCTACAGGGTGAAGTGAGCCATCAGATGTGGGTGCTGGGAATCCACCTTGGTCCTCTCAAAAGGCAGCGATCTCTCCATGCAAAGCCTGTGGTCCCTCGACCTCTGTATGCTGTACTAAGTACTTAAGAAATTAATCAGTGCAATCTTTTTATTTCTCTGTAACTATTACTACTCAAGTTCTAACATACATTAAATCAAACCCAGGTAAATTTGAGATTTATCTACTACCTTATGCCAGTTTTGTATAGGAAAAGTTAAAAAGTAAGATCACATTTACTAAGCCAAGAAACTTCATAGCTATCCTAATTGTAACAACTGTTTGGGATATAAATGCTGTGGTGATTAGTATCTACACTAGATATTACATTTAAAATTAATACTTAATATCAATTTTTAAAAAATTACATGCCTCAGCTCCTTGGTCTGTAGATCTATTGGATCGTGAGTTTCACTGTCCATGTGGAATCGAACTTCTGGAGAAGACAGAGTCAAAGCCCTGAGTGAAAATGAGAGAAATTAGTCAGATGAGCCAAGGACAGAGAAAACATTTTACAAGCAATCCCTTTAAAACATAAAATGAGTATACCAAGTACATAAGCATTTTTCTTTTTATGACCATCTACTAAGTTTGATGTTCTATTGTCATATAAAGCCTAACTCTTACATTTTTATTAAGCTACATAACCTTGCAACTACATTTTTTAAGTGGCTAAAAGAACAGGCCAAGTGGTATTTCATTTTCCATGGGAAACAATATATTGTGATGGGCAATGAGGGAGAGGACAAGGCCAGCTCTTCCATAGGTAGGTGAATCAGAGAAGATGCCTAGGCAACTGAGTGGAGACTGATAAAATTACTCCCACTCGTACATCGTAAGGACTGACGGCTAGTCATATTAGGTTGCTGTGGTCTCAGAATATACTATGCTAAGGCTTTTTATGTGTAGTTCTTAACGAGGGGACTAGTTCTCCTTTGCAAAGATTTCATAAGGATACACAGAGAAATCTAAAGTGTTTTCAGATATGATGCTACTTTCATCAAGTTCCAAATCAATCTCAACGTTTTTTTCTTCTTTTGTTTTTCTGGGTTTTTTTCCTTCAGTTTTTTGAGACAGGGTCTTAACTTTAGCTTTGGATAGACTCGGACTTGCTATTTAGACCAGGCTGACCCAGATAGAAGTCATATATCTACCTGCCTCAGCCTCCTGAGGGCAGGGATTAAAGGCATGTGCCACCTATGCATGGCCTGGAAGTAATTTTAATGAGATTGGGCAATCTTGGACAATCATGGGGAAGTTAAAAAAAAAAAAAAAAAATTAATGTTAACCTTTTTTTTTTTTTTTAATTATGTATATAGTGTTCTCCCTGCATGTGTCCTTACAGACCAGAAGAGGGCACTAGATCTTGTTATGGGTGGTTGTAATACACCATGTGGTTGCTGGGAATTGAACTCAGGACCTCTGGAAGGGCAGTCAGTGCTCTTAACCTCTGAGCAATCTCTCCAGCCCCTAATGTTAACCTTATACTTAAGTGAAAAGCTTGAGCAGCTTTACTCAAATTTAATAATTCTGTTTTCATGTACATGCCAAATCTGTAAAGAGTTTTAAATTTCATATTTAATTATTCAAATATGGTAGGCACTGGTCACAGCTGGCTGCAGAGCATAATTATCTATGGTTGCAAGGAGTACAGAAGGATGCTCACTGGCATTCAGGAAGTTAAGTTAGGTACTCTGCATGACAACACCAGAGGTAGCAAAAACACTTTTCATAATTGGCACTCTTCAAGATGTAGGGAGAGCCCAGGGACCAACCTCTGAAAGGCTCTTGTACTTGGGTCCCTTACAGCAGCCTTTCAAAATTGAAGCTACTTTTAACTGCTTTCTTTCTAACAAGTTTGAGCTGACACTCTCTTATACCTGTTATGGTTAGGCAAATGCCATGATATAATCTATTAAATATAGTCTACCAGCTAGGTAATCACCATTCTAACAAAATACTCTAAAGAAGTCAAATGTTATCTCATATCATAACTGATATTAATCATAATCATAAACTAAGGCCCGTCTTAGTAGGTTTTTTAAGAACATACCCCTTTTCAATCCTTCCTTTTTTTAGAATTTTAGCTAGTTTATTTAATCCACGGAGACTAGTGGTGATATCATCGTTCATAGCTGCTGAATCAATTCTCATCTGTGCTTCAGCATACGTAAGAGAAGCCTAAGAAAGAAACCTTAGGTTAACATAATTCTCACAACCGATAAAAGTGTATTTACTATATGAACCATACTGTGAATGTGTGTATCCATGTGTTAGTACAGGACCACACAGGCCACCATGTATGTATGGTGGTCAGAGATGCTAGTCCTTCCTCTTCCTCGGCCGAGACCGGTTCTCATCTTTTATTTTGTCTCATATTCTATGCTTTCAAGAAGCCTAAAATAAGTAATGAGAAATCTACCGAGATTCTTAACTTTACACTAGGATTTCTGGTTTAACTTAGGCATTCATTATATAACATAAGCAAATTTACATTAAAATAAAGGAAAATGGCAGTTTCCTTGTTACTTTCATTTTTAGTCTGTTTTTAGGTAATACTAGAATATTCCTTAATACTTTCCTTTTGGTGTATTTTTAGGTAATATTTAAATAAATCACAAAGCAGGTTCTGAAAAACTTTGCAAAGGTCATCACTTCCCTTTTCACTGGCAAATAGGAGTCTAGAAGTATTTTATAGGAGATACTAACCAAAAAAAGGACCAGAAAATGGGGTAAAAATGGTAAATTTAAAGCAATCTCTAGTAACAGATAATCCAAATATGGAAATAGCTGCTTCTGCTTCTATCTAGATGGAAAAACTAGTATTTTTTCAGATTCAAAGATAAAAGTAGCTTTATAACTAAAATTCAAAAACAGCATAAGGGAGTAACGTAACATAGGGCTAGGAGTTCCCTTTCTAAAAAAAAAAAATTTTTTTTTTTGGAAGGGTGGTGTTTTTTCAAGACAGGGTTTCTCTGTGTGGCTTTGGAGCCTGTCCTGGATCTCACTCTGTAGACCAGGATGGCCCTGAACTCACAGAGATACACCTGCCTCTGCCTCCCAAATGCTGGGATTAAAGGTATACACCAACACCACCCAGTCTTAGAAAAATGTTTTATATGTTCATTAATTTCAATTCACACTATATCTCAGAGGCCTATATCTAAAAGTTGAAGTAATTCCCACATCACTATTTACTTGTTAACAATTCCTTCTACTAGTCATCAGAACACAGTGATACTGACTTAGAAGGAAAAAACTGGCTAACTTTCTGAAAACATCATTACAAGAAAAAAATCCAGCATACTTTGGAGGACTATTAAGCACAAAATGAGAATGAATGTAAGAGAATACGGGGAGAGGTACAAAAATAAGAAAACTCTGCTGCACTGTTTGAACACAATCTCAGGTTAGTCCTACCGGAATCTAACTATAACATGGTGGCCAGGATGCACATGGTAGTTTTTCAAACGCTGTATTTTTAAGTAGGAATAACCTCAATTACTAGAGTTCCTGAGTTAGGACATAATGCCCTTTCGTTGAGGTATGTCATTTCTAAGTTCCTGAATACAGGACAATTACTACATAATTTCTTAATAACCTCAATTAATAAAGTTTAAATTCTGAAACAAACTAGAAACTGCTACAACACTGAACCTAACTTTTTAAAAAGTATCTAAGAAATTGTTAGAAGCACCAAAAATTTGAAATGTCAGATATGAATCATAACACTAACCTTTGAATTAATTACACTTTTGGTAAATCTTGTTTTTAAGATTTCAGCATTATGATTCATTTCCCAAATACAGGAAAATGCCAACCTTCAGAGAAAAAGAGACGGTATTTGTTTATGGGAATCAATTACTATAGTTAACAAGATACTCATATCAAAAAAAGTACAGAAATACCTGTCAACGTTGGATCTTAAGGAACATAAGTTTGAGCTAAGCAACTCTGGAACCATGTCAATCCTCTGAAAAAGATGGCACCAGATCTTAGATTACTCAATCACATTCAGTATGTCTTAATTTCCATCTGCAAAGAGCATCAAGTGAGCAGGAAAGGGTGGTATATTCTTGTCCCTTTGACTAGAGAATTAAGAACATGACAAAGTCTGTAGGAAGATACAAGACTGTTATAGAAGGCAGTAAGGGTGGCATTCATGCCAGTGGATTGAGGTTTCAGTCCTCTACATGAAGCACCTTCCTATCTTCTCGAAATCTGAAATTTCTGGTCTTTGTAGTTGGTACCTGGTAATTTACAAGCCCTTACCAACTGAGAGTTTTTCCACCGCTAAACTCAAGTACATGGTACTTTAAGTATACTTAGAGATGAGAGAAAAAATAAACTGAGGAAAAGCTTTATGGTCTATTTTGAGCATGATCTATAACAAAGTAACTTCCCCTTCTCCCCATCTCATCATCTGGTCTGTGTAGGTCTATGAAAACCATACTTGAAAGGATTTTTAATTTTTTTGTGTATGCAAGTTTTGCTTGCATGTCTGTGCCACGCATGTGCAAGCCTGGTGCCTAAAGAGACCAGAAAAGGACACTGGATCCTCTGGAAATGGAGGTATGGACTGCTCTAAGACATCATGTGCAATTGATTCCAGGTCCTCTGAAGAGCAGTCAGTTCTTGTAACTTCTGAGCCATCTCCTCAGTCCACCACCACCACCCAAAAACATGAAGAATCAATGCTACATAATGTCTATCAGCTAATTTAAACATTACTTGGATCACTGGATATCAAAACAACCCTAATTACAATTTTTGTTTTGTGTTTGAGTATGGTGTATGTTACAAGTTCATGTATGTAGAGGCCAGATGTTGAAATTAGGCATCTTCTTTGATCACACTCCACGGTATTTTTTGAGGCAGGGTCTCTCAGTGAACCTGGACTTCCCTGATTTGGCTATGTTGGCTGGTTATGATCATCAGGGATTCGCTTGTTTCTACCCACCAATGTTAGGGTCTCAGATGTGGTAGTTTCTGTTTGGCTCTAGGGAGTTGAACTCAGGACCTCATGCTTATGTGGTAGTTACTTTACCAATTGAGCCACTGCGTCAGGCCATAATAGGCATTATTTTCTTGTAATTTAGGATGCCTTCACCCATTTATTTCCTGTAGCTAAATATATATGTATTTACTTCAAACTGTGATTGCTCATTAAACCAAAAGTTCCTGGCTCAACCTTCAAAAAGATGAGATAGGATAATAAAGAGTTTGAGGCTAGTTTTGGCCTACACATCAAGACCCTGTGCCCATCAAAACAAAATGTGAAAGTGCTATGATCAGTAAAAGATTTTAAATTTAATACATTTACCTTTTCACAAAGATAAACAGTTGTTCCTCTTCTGGCTGATTCTTGATCCAGTGCATTTCCTGGCCTGATAAAATGGCTAACATCAGCAATATGAACACCAACCTTAAAAAGATTAAAATGAAAGGATGCCAATCTGCATTATTACTAACACAGACTTACAATGGAATTTAATGAGGAAAAAAAACGTAGCTAAGCTAAAAATGGACTCAGTCACAGCTAATAATTCAACCTCTGACATATTCCCATTAGTTTTTGTAGCTATAATTTTATATTCTGGCCTGGATTAAGAAAAACAATGAACCCTAGAACTGAATCACATCTAGCTAAGAGTATTGGGACAATAATAGGTACCTCCAAATTTCCATTACTGAGTTCTCTACAATGCAGGGCATCATCTATATCAGTACATCCTGGAGGGTCTACACTGCAAACACACAGATGTCTCAGGTCTTCTCGGTTTTTCATGTCCTAGAAATACCATGTTAAAAAGAAAAAAATAACTTGAGGAACACAACAGCAACATAGCTCTTAGGAAATAAATATCCCATAAAAATAAGTCAGCTTTCCATGTTATGGAGACACTTGACATATGCTACTAGTTCTACAACCTGGAAGATGTCATCTTTTAGTGAAAAAAGCAAATGATTTCTGAAACACCTAACTGTTGAACATGGTCCAAGAATGGAGTTGAATTGTTCTTGGATTAGGCTTTCATGCCCATCCCAGGTGTTGTGGATAGGAGTGAGTTTACTTTTGTTTATTTATTACAATTGGCTATTATTACTTGCTTATATACCTCAAAGGAAAAACATGTTTTTGCCATGTTCAGCTTCTCCTTGTGATTGTACACCTTACTTAGGTGACTCTACTTAACCCTCAGAGTATAAATTGTCTGATGCTTTGAATAAAATTGCCTATTGCATGCAAGTTTAGTCTGCCTCATTTTTAGGCTCCATTCTCCCAGATTCCACCACCTTTAGAGCAGTAAACACCTAATAAGGCTGTAACTAACTAAATGTGAAGGAGCCATGGTTTCTATGTTTTTTTAAAGATTTATTTGTTTATTATGTATACAGTTTTCTGCCTACATGAATGCTGGCAGGCCATAAGAGAGCATCAGATTTCATTATGGATGGTTCTGAGCAACCATGTGGTTGTTGGGAATTGAACTCATGACCTCTGGAAGAGCAGCCGGTGCTCTTAACCACTGAGCCATCTCTCCACCTCCACATATATATTTTTTAAAGATTTATTTATTTATTAGGTATACAGTGTTCTGTCTGCATGTGTGCCTGCAGGCCAAAAGAAGGCACCATATCTCATTACGGATGGTTGTAAGGCACCATGTTGTTGCTGGGAATTGAACTCAGGACCTTTGGAAAAGCAGCTAGTGCTCTTAATGGCTAGACCATCTCTCGAGCCCAGATTCTACATACTTAAAAACACAGAAATTAACTGCATTCTGGTCTGGTGGCTCAGTCCTGTAACTCTAGATACTCAGGAGCCTGAGGCAGGAGAAATGAAAGTTCAAGGTCTACTTGGGTTACAGAGTAAGATCCCAGCTAGCCTGGACAACTTAGTAAGACCCAACTGAATAGAAAAACCAAAATGTACAATAGGGCTGAGAACTTAGTCCAGTGGTAGAGTGCTTGACTAACCCGCAAAGGCCTATGTTCAATCACCAATACAAACAACACAGAAACCAAACCCCCTAGGATAAGGGAGAATCCGTAAAGTCACTAGGAATTCTTTTCAACTCACCTTCTCAGTAATGCTCCACGGCATCTTAGGCAGGAAGCTAAGGACAGCCTGGGAGAAAGGCTGGTGAGGAACATCGTGCTCAAGCAACAAAACTTCCGTTTCTGTCTCTTTCTCGCCAACATCACCTAAATTTTTAACAAAGTGTCCCTGGAATCAAAAGGTATTATCAGAAAGGCACACTTTGCAACTAATTAATATTTCATCATACTAAATCTTCTAGCACTCTATGTATCACCTCAGTATTTCTAAATCTTTCTCTAACATATTAAAAACAATCCTTTGGCCTGGTGGTGGTCCAAGCCTTTAATCCCAGCACTCAAGAGGCAGAGGCAAGTGGGTCTCTAAGTTTGAGGCCAGCCTGGTCTACAGAGTGAGTTCCAGAACAGCCAGGGCAACACAGAGAAACCCTGTCTTCAGGAAAAACAAACAAACAAACAAACAAACAAACAAACAAAGAAACAAACAACACCCTTTGAGTCTGAAGAGATGGTTCCACAGTTAAGAACACTGTTGTTCTTGCAGAGGACCCAGGTTCGACTGCCAGCATCCACATGCTGACTCACAGTATCTGTAACTGCAAATAGATCTAACTGACAGCCCCTGCTGACCTCCCTGTACACCAGGCATACACTGGGGTACAGACACACATGCAGGCAAAATGCCCATACACAGGAAAGCAAACAAACAAGAAAGCAAAAAAGCTTTCGGTGAATTAGAAGTGAATTAAAAAGAACAAGGTTTTTCAACTGCCTTTGAGAGCCTGGTCCTTAGACCACAATGCCTATGTTTAGTTCCTGTTAATTTTCAATGTAAAATCTACTTTAAAAGCAATACCTTCAAAATTTGGTTAAAATTTATTTAGGACACAAATGTTTCTTCCATAAAGTTTATCAGTAAAGGTTGGTGATTTGAGTAAAAGTAGCCACTTTTACTCCATGACGTACACTAGAATTAGATAAAATTTATCTATGCTCCTTACTAGGGAACCATGAAATAGTTGTGTCCATTTTCACTAAAAAAATCAACAGTATTTGTCACAAACTCTAATTAAATACACAAAAGTAAAGTTAATATTTTAAGCTTACATTTGGATATCTAGAATTTCTAGGCCAACCATCAATAGCGACAATAATTCTCCGTCCTTCTAATGCAGAAGCCTGTCTGGTTTCTATCCGAATTCGTGGAATTCTCTTATCAGCAGGTGTAAAGAGATGTCTTCTTGACTAGAGAAAATTAAAAAAATTATTTACCATCCTGGGGATCAATCATAGTAGCCCTAGAACATGCTAGGCAAGTCCTGTACCACTGAGTTACACCCTAGCAGGGAAAAGCGACGACTGTATACAGAGTCTGGAGACAGGGCAGAGAGAGAGCTTGGAGTTCTAAACAGTGACCACCAGTGTCCAGTCACGGTGACAGGTACTTCACTCACCTCCTTAATGTCAGACTTGGACAGCATGCCACAATACGGTCTCCAGTTCCTTTTGATGATTCCTACAACTCGACCGGTAGGCCGTAACATTTTTTCACTTACAGCAGTCTTAAGCTGAAATACAAAAGCAAAAATCTTCCATTATTTTTCTAAGTAAAATGAAGTAATTTTTCTTCCAAATTAGAACATGCACATGGACACTAATGCATTTCAGGTAGCAAATAATGACATGAAATTCAGAACCTTTATGCCTCAAAGTTCTAGACATGAGCATACCAACTGCACAATGCTCATTGTTCCATGATAATAAAGCACTCCATAAATGGTAAGTCCAGAAGCATGCAGCTGAAAAAAATGTCAGAACTTCCCGTTTTTCAATTTAATATAAGGATTTACTGACAAAAACACATGTAAGTCTAGGATTATGAGACTGAGACTTACTACCAGTTTAGATTAATTAGATATATGTAGTTCCTAATTAGGTACTATGTAGTTATTACAGTGAACATGTCATGTTGGATCTAATCCATTATAAAATAAATGCATCTTCGACAGTTCTATCTTATCCCAAATTAAGAGTCAAACAGAGAATGTAAACCACTAGAAATAGATCCTATAAATTATACCACTAATAACCCCAAAGGATTGGATTCTGCTAGAATGTTCTAGTAAGACTGCAGGAAATTAAATATAGGTAATGAAAAGAGGAGCTACACATGCTACATTGAATACAAGTGTGTTATCCTCATAAAACGGGTAAGTAGGTCACTTCTAATAGACTTAAGAACACAGGAGAAATAACTCATCCTACCTGATAAATGTATTAGTAGAAATGGAATAATTAAGCATGTCCAAATGCAAAGACCCAGAATCACGTTTTCTAAGAAAATTTTAACATTGCAAAAAAATTTCAGAAAGTTTTACATTTCTATTTACTTAAACTTCATTAATTCAGATCATATACGGAATGTTAACAGACTTCCACTTTCATACTAAACAACTCTAAATACTTAAACCCATTTGAGTAAAATGTCACTGAAAGAACATGAGTTTGTGTACTTAGAACAGAAATCAACTATGTACATAACCTGCATAACTTGTATTAAAATTCAGAGTACAGAACTTGAGACTGGAGAGACGGCTCAGTAGTTAAGAGTACTGGCTGCTCTTCCAGAGGACCTGGGTTTGATTCCCAAAATCCACATGGTAGCTCACAGCTGTCAGTAATTCCAGTTCCAGGAGATCTGACATCCTTTTCTGGCTTCTGAAGGCAGTGCACACACATGATGTACAGACATCCATGCAGGCAAAATACCCATATATGTGAAATAAAAATGAATAAACCTTTAAAAGTTCTGAACTTTGATTTCATTCAGTAAATATGAAAACAATGGCATATTAAACAGCACAATACGAACAAAAAACAAAACTTGAACTCTCTCATACCATGAGTTCTCTCTCCTCATCTTTCTCCACATCATCTTCATTTTGACCTTCATCTTGTAAAACCACAGAAGAAGGTGCCACCCACTGACTCTTGGGCAGAAGCTCCACAGCCACAATGTCTTCATGAATAGCTCTGTTTAGATGTTTAAGTCCTTGTATAAGTATCTGTGTAAACCAACAAGTGTCAAGGCATGTGTTAAAATAGATTTAATGACAATAATAAAAAAGTCATCTAATAGAGGGCAATATTCTAACCATTGCATATTATACCTAATTCTCTTAATGGTTTTCCTATTTTAAAATAATAAGCTATGTCAAGCTTATTGCGTAAAACTGTATTACACAAACTTAGTTGATCTGAATTTGGTCCCCAGAACCCATGGTGGAAGGAGAGAACTGACTTCTGAAAGTTGTCCTTAATTTTCCCATCACACTTGGGCAGTCCACTCCCAACTCACATCCACATCATATATACACAATCTTAATAATTTTAAAAATTAAAATAAAGTACTATTCATTATATACTCTTAATTTTTAAACTTCAAGGAGAAAAAAAATTCAGGAAATATGGGTTTTGTTTATAACTCCACCATAAACAATGGCAATTAAATACTTGGGAAGATCAAACTACTTAAATCTCAAGATCTTGGCTGATAAAAATGAAAACACAACTACTTTCATGGCTTGAGGTTGAAGACTAAGGAAAATGCAGCAAGTCAAAAGTTAGACAAATTTGATAAATAAAACACTCTAGAGCAGCTATCATGTGTTTGTGAAGCCTTTTTGTTGTGCATATATTATTTATTACAAGTAGATACATAAAACAAATACCTCATTTTATAGTATTTGATGATGATTCTCTTAAAAGGTGAGTTAGTAGAAAACTTTTAAATCATCAGTCTCATAAAAAAAGTCATTTATTAGCTGAGCAATGGTGGTGCTCACCTTTAATCTCAGCACTTGGGAGGCAAGCAGGATCTCTGTGAGTTCGAGGCCAGCCTGGTCTACAGGGTGAATTCAAGGACAGCATGGCTAAGCATAGAAACCCTGTCTCAAAAAAACCAAACCAAATCAAACCAAGCCAAGCCAAAAAAGAAGGTCCTTTATTATATTAGTATTTATTATTCTTTTACCAACTAGGAAGAGAAGAAGGTAGGGTGGAGAAACGGCTCTGTCATAAGGTGTGTCTTAGAAGCATGCAGATCTGAGTAAGCCCAAGACCACAGAAAAATCGTGGGCACGGTGGTCCACACCTGTCATCCAGCCCTAAGTAGGTAAGAGACAGAGGATCTCTGGAACTTACTGGCCAGTCAGTCCAGCCTAACTACTGAGCTCTACGTCAAAAGAAAGTATCTACATGGAAACAGGCCACACTTCTAAGGATATCACCTGTGGCTGTCTTATGGCCTCCACTCACAGATACATACATGCACATGTTAATTAAAAATAAAAAGTGAGGCAATTTTAAATTCTCATACAAAAACCGTAATGAGCACAAAGTATTTTAGTGTATAAAGAATTTATACGGCCGGGCGGTGGTGGCGCACGCCTTTAATCCCAGCACTCGGGAGGCAGAGGCAGGCAGATCTTTGTGAGTTCGAGGCCAGCCTGATCTACAAATAGAGTTCCAGGAAAGGCGCAAAGCTACACAGAGAAACCCTGTCTCGAAAAACCAAAAAAGAAAAAAGAAAAAAAATAAAAAAGAAAAAAGAATTTATACAGGGGCCAGAAAGATGACTCAGGAGAAATCTTAGGCTTGCCACTAAGCCTAAGATTCTGAGTTCAATACCTAAGACCCACTCTTTGCAAAGAGAGAACCAACTCCTGTTCAAGTTTTTTTCTGACCTCCACATATTGTGTATGCACATATACATACACAAAAAAGAAATTTTAAGAAACTTTAAAAGGCAAATTTACGCAGCCGGGCGGTGGTGGCGCACGCCTTTAATCCCAGCACTCGGGAGGCAGAGGCAGGCGGATCTCTGTGAGTTCGAGGCCAGCCTGGGCTACCAAGTGAGTTCCAAGAGAAACCCTGTCTCGAGAAAAAAAAAAAAAAAAAAGGCAAATTTACATATTGTCTTAGTGAGGGTTTCTATTGTTGTGATGAAACACCATGACCAAAAGCAAGTTGGGACGGAAAAGGTTTAGTTGGCTTACACTTCAACACTGCTGTTCATCACTAAAGGAAGTCAGGACAGGAACTCAAACAGGGCAGGATCCTGGAGGCAGGAGCTAATACAGAGGCTATGGAGGGGAGCTGCTTACTGGTTTGCTTCCCAAGGCTTGCTCAACCCACCTTCTTCTAGAACCCAGGACCATGTGACAAGGAATGGCACCATCAACCATGGGCTGTGCCCTCCTTTACTGATCACGACTGGAGAAAATACCTTACAGCTGGATCTCATGGAGGCATTTTTCTCAACTGAGACTCCTTCCTCTCTGATGACTCTAGCTTATGTCGACACACAAACCAGCCGGTACACATGCTTACCTCTTTTTCATCATCTTTGTCTCCATGAATCCACACCGTAGCTTCTAAATAATTTTCCCTGCTAGCTCTAAATGTTCCTTGAAGGTATGAACCAGATTTTATGCCTTGTTGGAGCTTACTTAAGGGAAGGTGCTCTGAAAATATTATTTTTCCACTTTCTATTTCATTCTATGAAATAAGCAAATCAAAAGTCTGTTATTTAATGTACTGTTTTCAAGAGTATCATACAAGTTAAAAATCTACTTTATGAAATAAATATACAACTGAATTTAAACTAAGAGGAATATATTTTCAGGGCACTGCTATCTAAAACAACTTGCTGTAATGAAAGTGCTATCTTTTCAATGATGTTCAACATGGTAGCCACTAGGTTCAAATTCTCTGACTAGCTAAATATGTATAATACAGCTGAAAAAATGGATTTTAAAATTTAAATTACATTTAAGCATCAACATGTCACTAGTAACTAGTTATTAGAGAGGGTACTCCAAAAAACGTATTCCAAAAGGCCAGTCCAACTTACATCTTCTAGCATTCTTTTAGTTTTGTAAAGGAGTTAAAGACAAACAAAACAGGATGGGAGAAAAATTGTTAGTTAAAGAAACAGAATGGTTTGGAGCCTACTGCCTATGGTGACACTTTGCGCAGCCTTGGTGCAGGGAGGAGGGGCTTGGACCTGCCTCAACTGATGTAGCAGGCTCTGCTGACTCCCCATGGGGAGACCTTGCCTTGGAGGAGGTGGGAATGGGGAGTGGGTTGGGGAGAAGACTCGGGGGTGGGAGGAGGGAGGACAGAGGAATCTGTGGTTGCTATGTAAAATGAATAGAAAATCTCTTAAAAAAAAAAAAGAAAAGAAAAGAAAAGAAACAGAATGGATATACGTATCTTGTCCTATTAGATACAGCTACTTTGGTAACAACAGCTATCATTTGTTATCAGGTAATAATAACACTTGAGTCATGAAAGAGGACATAAAGTCAACTGCTTTTCTTTTTGATAAGGTAGATTAAGCACTTAAACATATATTTGATAGTCAAAGTGTGAAATTCAATGTGAAGTTCCACAGCTTCAGAATGGTCACTAACTGTACAGAAAGTCATTAAGACTGCGTCTTATTAATAATTCTGCATATTTTTTATGTGTGAGGTCTTAAGATAACATTTTTAATAACTTAACAATAGCTACCATTTACATTTATCATAGCTATGTGCCAAGCAACAAGACAAGAATTACATGAAGCTTCCAACTATACTCCATTCAGCTCTGCTAATAACAGCATAGTTATTGCTATTTAGCTCACATCAAGTCAATTTATTTAGCAACGTCATTTCAATAAGCTAATCACAATAATCTTTTTTGTTTGGTTGTTTATAACCTCACTCTGTTCCTATTCTAGCTTATTGGCACATTCTAATTTATAAATCTGGTAACTATAAGTCTAATATCCAAGAAGGCTATTTTTATATCTTTTTTTCAAAAACAGAACATACTGAAACATACCATTTCTTCAGACAAACAAGCAAGACGATCTATAAGTTCAGGGTTAGCAGTCAGGCTCTTTACATATTCTTCACCTGAAAAATAAGTTAAATGTTTTTAAGTTTAAGGGTCCATAATTTTATCTAGGCATGAGAGAACATGGGTGATCTTGTTTTGATAGTACATCTGCCATTTTTTATACATAAAACAAAAACTAAATCTGTTGATGTGATCATAACTAAAAAGAAGCAATGGGTCTAGCATACATGAATTTTTACTATGTCAACTGCAAATAGTGAGGAAAAATTAACAGCCACTATTTACAACTGCTTATTAGCTCACTAGCTGAGAAATTTTAAATGTAAAAAGAACGTGGGGCGGTAGTGGCGCATGTCTTTAATCCCAGCACTCAGGAGGCAGAAGTAGAAGGATCTCCATGAGTTCCAGGACAGCCTGGTCTACAGAATAAGTTATAGGACGGTCAGAGTTGCTGTTATTCAAAGAAACTCTGTCCCGAAAAACCAAAAGTAAATAAATAAACACAGTAAAAAGAAATCTTTAAAATAAAATGTAGAAAGACGGCTCAGCAATGAAAATCAGCTGCTGCTCTTGCAGGGGACCCTGTTTCAGTTTCCAGCACCAACACGACGGCTCATTATCCATCCCTAATTGCAGTTCCACGGCTCTGGACACCTGCTTTGGACTTCCAGTCAATGCATGCATGTGATGCACATACATACATGCAGGCAAAAGATCCGCACATTAAAACTGAAAAATATTTGCTTCAAATGTAAAAAGATCGTAAGAAATTATACAGGACAATGAGATAATGAGTCATGTGAACCTTTGGCCTGATACTAATTTTTACATACAGTTGCAAACATGCATAAAAGCGTCTATGTTCAGACCTACATGTGAAAGCTGGTATTCCTTCTTCTACAGCTTTTTCTTTGTTTTTCTTGTCATTTGTGATAAGGATAACTTGTAGCTGACTTTCTGCCGACATTTTCTTCAGATGTTCGTTGTACCATTTGGCTGCTACTCGGATGGCTCTATCATTTCTGTCATTAGCATTCTCTCCCTGCTCTTGCTCTATGTAGGTCTCTCTAAATGTAAAAAGGGAGGAAACCACAAATTACAAGGTAAGCAGCAGAAACAAGGATGTGTAAAAACTTGAGTGGTCTGACAGGCACTGAAGTGAAAAGTCAGTGGTATATGTATTTAACTTGAACTTCTATGGTCAAAACAATTCTGTTAAGATCCTTTCAAGTTCTCAAGACAACAATTTTCTGAAGAAGAAATTTATGTTATTAATGGGAAAATATAGAGGTTCTAATAGTTTCACTTCAAAAAAAGAAAATGTTAAAATTTAGACTTCACACTGGGGTGTTAAATAATAGTTTCCTGGGTGGGAAGGATTAATAGAACTTTGCAGACCAGATAATAAAACTCTACTCAACAAACCATGGATTAACAGCCAACTGCTAAGCTCTACAGTGTGTGACCACTGATCATGTGATTCAATGGCCACTCAATCCATGATCTATGTAGATCATCCATGGTCAACACTAAATACATAGCAAAGACTATGTAGAACCTAGAAGGCCTCAGCTCTCAAATATGAAAGTACATTTACATACGTCTTTAAGTCTGTTCTTCAAAGCCATATTCTTAGTATTACTTTATTTCCTACCATTAATTGTACTAACTAATGCTTCCAGGGGTGTCCAGCCTTTGGACACTGCAACATAATTCTGTGCATCTACAAATGTGTTGGGCCACATTCATAACTATTCTGGTGCACAGGGGTCCTCTGGTTACAAATCTGATAAACCTAAGCTTATCCGTAAAAGACATGGTTATAAAATTTGAATTTGGTTTTACCGTGCCGGACTTAAGTAACAAAATCTACATAAGATTTGCCTAGCGTTCTAAAGTCTTCTAATCAGTCCCTGTATTGCTAATTCCTACTCAAAGCACTTAACTAATAGACATCCTACTAAGCCTACGTTAGCAATCTGATGCGCATGTTCCATACAATCTTGGTCTTCTGGTATAGAAAACAAGTGGTATCTGTTTCTGGAGTTTAAGGAGGTACAATGAATAAGCAGCCCAGAGGCACTTTTACTCTATATGTGTGTCTGTGTGTGTGTGTGTGTGTGTGTGTATGTGTGTGTGTGTGTGCGCGCGCACGCGCGCGCAATACTTAGTTTCAAGATATAAGAAAGGACTACACCCGACAGGTATGGAAACATTTTGGATTACTACACTTGGGTCTAATAGGAGAATGCTATTGGAACACACTTGGCCTCTACGGGCCAAACATGCTGCGAAGCACCTATAACCTATAAAATAGTTTTCACACAACACACAACTACTCAGTTCAAAATGTTAATAATTTCAAGGTTGAAAAAGTATCATAGATACCCATCATAAATTATTAATGATTATAGGCAATCCCTTTATGGTCTGAGAGCACACACTGAGTTCAAAGGTCATAAACCTATATTATAATGAAGAATTGTTTTTAGAAATCCAATTTCAATAAATCAGCTGTAAGATATTAACCTTTAAAACTTATTAATCATAAATTCATATTTTAAAAATCTTTTTCACAAACACACATTTTTAACCCTATATGTTATTGACATATTATGGTATCGCAGGAGCCTGAATGGCTCTCATTTCCAAAGAATCTATCATTCAACTCAATATCCACAACTTCAATGGAGTATTTCTGACATAAAAGTACTATTATAGCCAGTAGATCCCAGTTTAAGGTGTGACCTCACTGACACTGTGATCTTCCGTGAGCCCCACGTAGCAATGTTTTCTACACAGCTACGTAACAACCAAACAGCACGTGAAACTGCAGACTGTCTTTGATCAGTGACTCCCAGGCACTTCCCTTTACATTTCGGTAGCTCTGTGGTCTTCTGATACTTACTTATGGTGCTCATTAGTGAACGTATAGAAATGCTTCTCCTGGTTATTCGTCACATCCCTGATTCGTTTATATATAGGGGCACTCCGGTTTCTCACTTCCTGCAGGACTGTCTGTAGCACAATTACATTCCTGATAGCAGGGTCCTCCAGGACATCAATCTTAAAAACAAAAGCACAAAGTTAATTTTCCCATGTCCTCTTAGAAATTGCTGCTGCCAAAAGCCTAAAATTCGGTTACAGTTTAATCCCCTGACTCTCCGTTAGGCCAAAGCGTTAGTTACTCTGCTGTAGAAAAAGTGACAACAGTCACTCGGGCCCTGTAGGCTTGAGAAGAGCCCCCGTAAAACGGACCGCAAACGTTTGCAGTATTAAAGCTATGGACAGATCAATATGCTGGCCCACACAGTTTTTGTTCGTAGGCACTTACAAGCTGCCTGGGGGTCGCACTCTGGATGCCACAGAAGCCCAGGTCCCCGGCTTCCGGGCCCTTATAATCTAAAGCAGAAGAGACACCAGGAGTTAGCAAATTACCGTGTCTAAACCTACGACTCCAAGAACCGAAAAAAAAAGAAAAGCAAAGAAAAACAACGTCAGGGGAAAGTACCTCGGCCTGGATAACGGGAAGGGAGGGTGGCCACAGCAGGTGCCCCTCCATCCCAAGCCCCGCCTCCCTCCGGTTCCCGACCCTGCCACGCCCCCTCGTCACCACGCGGCCCGGCGCCGGGCCCCGTACCTGGTGCAGCAGCACGTTGGTGTCCGGCAGGAGGTAGTGCGGCCACGGGCAGAGGCTGCTCGCCTGGTCGCGGGGCTGCGACTCCAGGGCCGGGCCCGGGTGCGCCCCGTCGCAGGCCGCGCAGGCCGGGGCCCCGCAGCCGATGTCATCCCGCAGGTAGTGCTCGCGCACGATCTTCACCACGCCGCCCGCGCGGGTCTTCTTTAAGAACGTCTTGGACTTGAGCATCTTGTCCCCCCGCCGCGTAGAATCCGGACCCGGGCGGAACCCAGACGGCTACGGAACTCCAGCGGGAAACACGTCGGGTCGGACACCGCGGGGCCTCTTCTTCCCCCTCCCCGCCGCGAGCTGGGGAATGCTCACCTCTCGCGAGAAAACATCAAGTCGGACTTGGTTAATGTTAGCTGCCTGATGGTCGTCGCGATTGGGCGAGAGTCGATCGTTTCCGCCCGCCGCTGGGCGGGGCTCTCCTCCGGGACTCCAACTCCCAGCCTGCACCGCTTCGGACTGGCTTCCGGGGAGGGAGGGCCTGGGCACCTGCGCGCCCCGGCTTCTTCCGACTTCTTCAGGGGCAGGGCGCATGGTTGTCTTGGTGACCGCTCCCTAACGGTCTGGTGGCCCCGAGATACTCGTGGAGGGTTTGCAGCCTGAGCTGCTGACTGAAGACGCCTTTGGTTCCATCAAGTGTCCGAGGTGAGGCTGGTGTTAGCCTTGTATGCGGAATTACGGACGCTTCAAGCAGCTCCCAGGAATCTGTTCCCCTTTCTTTCACGCGTGGTGCAAAGATGCTAAAATGCATCAAGTGGAGACTTTGTAAATCTTAGCCAAAGAGGGAGAAGCTCGCCCCTGGTCCTTTGTAACCCGCGCGAGGATTTGTCTTTGATTTCACCTTTCTTCACCCTTTCCCCTTAAAAAGGATCCTTCCAGACTTAACTTCTGTGCAGTCTTATACCGACAAAGACAGAAGGCATTGTCTCCTTGAGTTTGTGGTTCTTGGTATTAATGGGCTTTATCCTTTCTCTTTTACACGGCTTTATTTTCCTGTTTCCTTCGAGTAAGATTCTTGCTCCACTGCCATGGGGGCACATTCCTTTAATCCCAGCACTTGGGAGGCAGAGGCAGGCGGATCTCTGTGAGTTTGAGGCCAGCCTGGTCTACAGAGCAAGGTCCAGGATAGCCAGAGCTACACAGAGAAACCCTGTATAGAAAAACCAAGAGGAAAAAAAAAAAGAATTTAATGATTCAATCTTTGATTTGAGAAGTAATTCGTGGTAGTGATCTGGCATAGATTTGAGATCGTTCAGTGCCTAATGGTCGAGGCAGTCTTTTGTATCTCATTAATGCACTATATGCTCGTAGTGGTTTTTTGATATATTTAAGGTTATTTCTTTTTACTCTACAGAAGATTGACCCAGAATAATAAAATGTCTCGAAAAATTGCCAAGGAGTCAAAAAAAGTAAACATCTCTAGTTCTCTGGAATCTGAAGATATTAGTTTAGAAACAACCATTCATACAGATGATGTTTCCTCATCAGAAGAACGAGAGGGTAAAGTCAGAATTACCAGGCAGTTAATTGAAAAAAAAGAAATACTTCATAATATTCAGTTACTGAAAATCGAGCTATCCCAAAAAAATATGATGATCGACAATTTGAAAATGGATTATCTTACAAAGGTAAGAACAAATGCAAATTTTATTTTACTTGCCTTGTTGTATTTAAAGTGAAGATAAATAAGAAGTTGGTATATAAGTCATGTGTGGTGGCACACACCTTTAATCCCAGTACTCTGGAACCAGAGGCAGGTGGATCTCTGCGTTCTAGGCTAGCCTGGTTTACATAGTGAGGTCCAGGACATCTAGGGCTATGTAAAGAGACACTATATCAAAAAAAAAGTATATGTAATCAGAACTTAAAGAATAACATTACTTTTCCAGTACTGACTTTTTATACTTTGCATATTAAAAATGGGTGTTTTAAATGTGAGTATGGATGGATTACTTTTGTAGGTTTACTTTTTAAAGTACAGCATTAGTGTAATATGTATTTTCATAGGAGTGATTTGTAGCCAAGTTTTGTGCTTCACCAAATGTGATATGACTGACTAGTTTGATAAGAAGAATCAAGATCATGATTGTATTGTTGAATCGGAATTGTTCTTTCTCTAGAAATCTGATTTCCTTGTTACCTTCCTACACAGTTACTATGTGTCCGAGAGTTGCTGTATCACAGAAGTCAGGCTTAAGTGACCACTGTCTTTAGCAAGTGTGTCATGTAGATAAGGATGGCCTGGTTCTTGTATTTCTGCCTTGTGTGCTTATTTAGTCCCAGGGTAGTTCATGGAATACCTGGTAGAGATTAACTAGCCCCAAGAAATAGTGAGCTATTACAAGACACATTTCTTTAGTGTTACTACTTGTGTGCCTAAGAAAATCATTTCCTCCTGACAGTGAACTAACTTGACTCTTGTTCTTAGCTCTTCCTGCATTAGCCTCTCTGTCCAGCACTGTTTCTTTTTGTTTCATTTGTACTTTCTCGTTAACTTGTTAGAAGAACAATTTTAGTTCAATGCTATGTATACTAAAATACTACAGTGGCCTTCTACTAGAAAAAAATGTATTTATTTTGGGCCAGTGACATGATTTGGTGGGTAAAGATGCTTACCATGCAAGCCTGGGACCATCTTGTGAAAAGAGAGCTAACTCCTGAAAGTTGCTCTGGCATGCACACACTTGCACACATACATAACTTGAGAATAAAAAGGAAGGGCTGGGGAAATGACTAGGCAGTTATAACACTTTTTACAGATGGCCTGGGTTCGAGTCCCAGAACCCACAGTTCCAGGGGATCCAGTGCTGTTTTCTGGCCAGTGAGGGAACCAGACACGAACATGGTACACATACATACACACAGGCAAAACATTCAAACACATAAAAATTCAGTAAGCCATAAAATAAAAGATTGATTTAAATTTTTATTGTTTATTTATTTTTAAGGTGCTAGGGATCAAACCCAGAGCTTTCAGCCTGCTTCACAAGTGCCCTGCCCACGAGGAAGCTAGAACAATTTCTTAGTGGTGCCTCTCTAGAAAAAGCAGAAAATACAGTTAGACTTGTCTGTTTTAAAGGAGACACAAGAAGGGAAAGGAAACAAGACAAACGGAGGACCAGTTTGTTATGTAGGGGTTTACAGAAAGCACAACGTACTGGAGAACTGGAAGATTTCTCTGGGCTAGAGCCGTGTCTTTTTCAGTTAGTTGCAGAGGAAGTTGTTGGCAATGGTCTCTTTAAGAGTACTCTGCTACAGTGTAGAAGTTTTTACAAAGACAGTTACTTGAAAGTGGTGAATATTTGTTAGCATATTTTAAGGGCAAGCTAAAGGGAAATGTGGAGGTTTGTGAAATTGATGGGGAACCCATAGTGGTCCAGGCAAGCATGTCACAAGAAACTCATTTTCCTTTTTACCCAGAAGCTACAGGGTGAGTGAGTTTAGCAGTTACTCATTTTGTTTTGGGTGTTTCTGACATCAGCCATGTGGCAGTAAATGGAAGGTGTGCCGCACTCAGACTAACTATTGACTACCAGTGTGAACAGAGTGCATCCATGAAGCTCTCCTCTGAGTGAGCTGTGCATGTGAATTAAGGACAAAGCCATCTCAATGATAGCCTGGCGCAAACATTTCTGAGACAGTAGCTTCAGCCCAGATTTTTTGAAGACTCTTACTCTGTTTCTTCTAAGTGTTTGTTGTTATGCTAACGGAAAGCTGAGTGTGTAAACTGTGTTCTCTCTGTTCAGATTGAAGAGCTGGAGGAAAAACTGAATGACGCCCTTCACCAGAAGCAGCTGCTAACTTTGAGATTAGACAATCAGTTGACTGTTCAAAAGAAAGATGCCAAGTAAGACATGTTTTCCACAAAAGCCTAACATCTATTTATCAACTAAAAGTCATTTTATTCTTGTTTATGCGTGCTGTTATGGGCTATAATAGGGAAATTTTAAGTTAGATTTGCTTATTATCCTCACATGCAGACCACCAAAGGTTGCTTTATAACAGTATACAAATGCACAGTTAAAATTAAACATTTATTCAACAAATACTGGCCCTGTAAGCAACCCATAAATTATATAAGGAGCTTTCTGAATTGACCACAACTTGGTATGTAGATCACCTTGTTCTTCCTTCACTTTTAAAACACTCTGCACTGTCACAGCTGTTTCGTATACTACTACCATGCCTGTGTATTTTCTCCAGGTAGATATATACCTTTAACAGTGAACTAAGCCTGGTGTAATGGCTCCCACCTTTAATCCCAACTCTCGGGAGGCAGAGGCAGGCTGATCTCTGTGAGTTCGAGGCCAGCCTGGTCTAGAGAACTAGTTCCAGAACATTCAGAGCTGCACAAGAAAACCATGTCTCAAAAAACAAAAAAAGGAGTTCAAGCTCGTCCTTGGCTACACAGTGCGTTGAAGGCCATGGCTAGTTGAGGCCTTGTCTCCAACAAACAGGCAAAGAAATGAAGTCAAAATTTATTGTTTACTCTCCAATGTACCTATGCCAATTATAACCATGTAATGTAATTTAAAGTGATATAAACAATGACGTTTTAGTGGAAAAATCTGTATTGTTTCTATAAAAACAAGAATAAGTTCATTGGAAACACTCAATGAAAGTGAAAAGCAAGGTTATAGAAATGGCCCAGCAGTTAAGAGCACTGACTGCTCTTCCAGAGGTCCTGAGTTCAATTCCCAGCACCCACATGGCAGCTCACAATCTAATGTACTCTCCTGGTGTGCAGGCATACATGCAGACAAAGCACCTGTATACACAAAAAATAAAGACATGGTAACTCACGCCTTTAATCCCAGCACTTGGAGAGGCAAAGGCAGGCGGATCTCTATGAGCCAAGTCTGCTCTACAGAGAGAGTTCCAGCCAGCTAGAGCTACATAGCAAGACTTGTCTGAAAATAACAAATAAATAAATAACAAGTCAACCGAGGCAAGATAGGTATAAAGACAAAGCAAAACCATCAATGAGGGGCGGTGGTGGTGCACGCCTTTAATCCCAGCACTCAGGAGGCAGAGCCAGGTAGATCTCTGAGAGGTCAGGGCCAGCCTGGGCTACAGAATGAGTTCCAGGAAAGGCACAAAGCTACACAGAGAAACCCTGTCTCAAAAAAAAAAAAAAAAAAAAAATCAGTGAACATTATCTTTCAGATTTCTGTTGGTGTCTTTTAAGGTCTCCGCTAGGACAGGGAAATGGCTCAGAGGTAAAGTGATTGCTGAAAGCCCTGAGTTTGAATTCCCAGTAAAAGCTGAGAGTGGTGGTATGTTCCCAGAACCCCATCCCAGCAAGGGTGACGACAAGTAGATCCCAGGAGCTCACGGGCCAGCCAGTCTAGGATGGTGACCTCTAGGTTCAGTGCATGCTCCTGTTTTTAAAAAGTAAGGTGAAGAAACAGCTGAGAAAGACATTCTGACATCAGCTTCTGGGCTCCACACTGCTGGGATGGGTCAGTGGTTGGCTTCGCTGCTTGAATGAATACTTTATGGGGTTCAGTGTTAACTGCATTAAAGAGATGTGTCTTGCAGTACCAAGATCAAAGAGAAATGGAAATTAATAACTAGAATCCAAAGCCAATATAGAGAAGTTAAGACTTTAGCAGATTATATGTATAATATTGTAATTTGAATTTTTGGTTACTACTTAAGAATGTTGGTCTCTAATAATTTGGGATTATACATTTACTAATCTGTATGGTTTAGTCACTTCATGTTTAGTTAGATAAATCCGCACTCATGATAGCCAAGAATACTATATGGAACTCACAAAAATCTCAGTGATTTTAAAGCTTGCCATGAATTCTCTCAATGTAGGAAATATCAAGAACTAATGAAACAAGAAATGGAAACTATTTTATTGAGACAGAAACAATTAGAAGAGACAAATTATCAGCTAAGAGAGAAAGCTGGAGATGTCCGTCGAAACCTGCGAGACTTGGAGCTGACAGAAGAGCAGTATGTGAAGCTGAAATCCTTTCCTGAGGACCAGCTCTCCATCCCTGAATATGTGTCTGTAAGTGTCCTGAGGACCAGCTCTCTATCCCTGAATATGTGTCTGTAAGTGTCCTGAG